GCCGTCATAGAACAATAGCTAAATGAAGCATGTATTTAAAATTTGGTGAGAAGCTTTTGTACATTTTAGTTCTGTTTGGCTCAGCAGGTGTGCTGCACTTTAGACTTCAGTCTCCAGGGCTGTCAATCCAACAACTTTCACAAGCACTATATTCACTTAAAAGCTGAAACAGAAAAATAGAAGGGGATGATGCTAATAGCACTTAGCACTTATATAGCTTTCCTTCCTGAAAGTACAGTGCAAACATGAGGTAATTAGCATGTACTTTGTCTTGGAGATGCAAATATATCTCTAAACAATCTTTAAGCAAAGAGAATACAGACATAAAACCAACCTATGCCCAGCTGCATATTTTCAAGCTTAAATATTGTGAAATGCTATTTATGGTATAATTTCTCCCTGTAGTTGATCAGTAAGTCCAGCTTGTGGAAACCAACACAGTATATTTCAGCATGCAAGGCTCCTTCTTCATTGTGTGAAGAACTTAATGTAATAATTTCAGATTTTATTTGATGAAGTGCATGATACAGGTAACCATCAGGAAGTTATACAAGGGGGTGTGTTATTTGAGTAGTCAAAATATGGGAATAGGTTGCACAGGTGTACCAGTTATTCAAACTGCCAGGAGCCTCTGGAGCAATCCTGCTGTGCCTGCTCCAGTATCTACCCACCTGGTATTAACTACTCTGACTATGTCCCACAAAGTCTTGAACAGATAGTTACCCACCTAATCCCCTTACTAAGAAACTTCAAAGTCTTAAAAGGAAAGAAACTGAAAAGAGAGGTTCAGCTGGCACTGAGAAAAATTAAATGCTTTCGGGGAGAAAAAAGACAGGTAAAACTATAAGTCTCAGACTTAGTTTTTCTCTGAATTAGAGAAAAATATCTGCAGCTGTGGTGTGTTTTCAGTGTACTTTTTTTTCTGGTTAAAATAAAATTTTAGTGGTGTTTTCAAAGCTGGAAATTGACTTATAGGTCAATTTGATAATTAAAGAGTTCTTTTGAGCCCTTGAGCTACTACCAAAGGCTATCAGTACAGATCAGCCAGGATGTGGAGCAAATCTGGTCAGGGAATTATCTGTTTCACTCTCCTCTTCATTCTTAGGCCATTATGATTTTAGGATGGCAAATCTGTCAAATTTGCAATTTCCTTCAGTAATAGAGTTTTGGCAGAAGCTGATGCTGGTGCTGTACTGTACTCATGCACAGTTAGGTAACCAGTGCATGCTTCATTTGAGAGAGGCACAGAAAGCTTTTCAAAGTTACTGCATTATACTTTCTCTTTCAGTGCTGAGCTCAGCTGCTGAGAGCAGAGGAGGTGTGAGAAGACTTGTTAATAAAAGTCTGTTTAGATTTCATTACTCTGAATAGCCAGATCAAGACAATACACCTTGCCAACCCTCTGAGAATTGTAGTCCTCTCTGGAAAAACTTTCTTTCCTGCACTGAATATCTGGAATGTTTATGCAATGCAAGCAGAACTCTCTTCTGCTGCCTTTGATTAACAGAGAGAGTGGAGACTGTCTTCCACTTGTAGAAGATGGAGCAGGAAAGTTGAACAAAAGAGCAAGGGAGGTCTTGTTTCTCCCACTCAGATATATCAAAGAAGCCTCCAGCACCACCTTCCAATTTTTTAGATTTCTGTTTCCCTCCTATTTTATAAAAGGGAACTCCTTTGAGTAAAGGAGGAGCAAAGGTGACTGGTGTGGAGGATAGACTAGATGTGGCAGTGTGGCAGATTGGTGTGGCAAAAATGCCAAAAGCATTGGGGAAGGTCTAACTCGCTGATTGGCCCATGAGATGGGCAATTATGGGTTGGTTGTGTTCAGCTCAGAGCTGGGGCTTGGGGAAGCCATGTCTTAGCAAGCTCCAGCATGACTTCCGTGCTGTGTCAAAACCATTTTATTGGCTAGATCTGGAGAAATGTCCTACCAAGACTGACTAGAAGAGAGGTGCAGTGAACCAGAAAGAGCTCTACCAAAATATGAATTTCTTCCACTTCACGATGGTTCTGGCCTCTGAGCAGTGAAATAAAAGCGAGCATTTCTGAATGAAAGCTGTAGCTATGGAAATATCTTTGTCTACATGACGAGCCCTAGTCTTTAACCAATCTGAGGGCTTCAGAGATGTTTTTCAGTTTGCTGTAGAAGAAAAATACCAACCTGTGGTAGACTTGGCATGTGGCATGGGCAGGCTTTTTCTCACCCAGAAAATTAAACCTCCATTTTAATCACTGTGATTTTCTTTTGTTGTGGTCCTTTTAAAGTTCTGCAAGTTTTGCTTAGATATTTATGAAGACTTTTAAAGACTTAACTCTTGATGAAAGCAGAAATAGCTTTGTAAGCATAAGTGCTACTGTTCTTTTCTCTATCAGCATGCACACTCACCTGAATACCCTGAATATATATATATACAGATTTCAAAACCCAACTAGTAATAAATGACAAGAAATGAGTGCTGGAAAGCTGAGTCAGTCTAGTTCAAAATATATTCCACTGTGTTACACTTTGACTATAAATTCAAAATAAATTACAAAGGTTAGTAAAATCTTATTTCACTTTTCTTTTTACCTGTCTATTTGTATTTTCTAAATAAGTCTCAAATTTAAATGATTAATGACCTAGCTAAATTGAAAGGAAAATTATTCAGAGAAGAACACATTTTAAATAGTACATTTCCATATGTGCGCTTTACATTGTTACTGAGTGATAACCTAATACAGTTAATTAGTACCTTTCTCCCTAGTATAACTTATTTGTCATCAGGAGTAGGATTTAGCCCTTTTCATCTTGTCATGGCTTTTGGTGTTAAGTGCTTTCAGTACCTTGCCCCATCAGGAGATCCAGAAGGGTGATGTTTCATTTATTCCAGCATTGCAATTTTTTCTGTAGTTACTTAACAAAAACATTTTGTTATATGAAGTGGTTAGTAATGTAGTCATTGAAGTCAATATGACTTTCACAATTGATGTCAATGAGAAGAGGACTGCGTTGACTGTGACTGTGTCACCCCAGTAAAAGATAAACACTGTGCCCTTTTAAGTAATATATCACACCCATATTTTAAGGACATCACTTGTAAAAAATGCTCTGGAAAAGAAGGGAAGAATGATGTGCCTGTTATTGCAAAACTTACCTTCTGAATTCTGTTTCTAGTTGCAAGAGAAAATATAAAATGAAGGGCATGTGCTTTGTGCTTTATTAATATTTATTTAAACTGTCTTCTGATACATTGCCTTTCTGATGCCACGTGGTGTTCTCCTGCACTATTTCCCAGCATGATAGCTAATGTCCTTCTCTGAAAATTATCCATTAAAATTTTATCAATTTTGCGTTTTGGTGAGACAGTATGAGGAAATGCCATTGGAAAATTAGATTCCTCTTTGACATCGGGCGCCCAGTCAGCAATCCAATCCCATGTGTTTCTACTGAGACATTAGGATTTGATATAATTTTGGGCAGAAAACATTTTAAAATGAAACAATTGAATTTTCTGGATGGTCTTGGGGACCACTTAGCTTAAGAGAATACACTTCCAAATCAAAAGCCTTTCAATCATTTTAAATATTATTTGGATGATATTTGCTTTATGTGTAGTAGCAGTTTAAATTTGTATTGAATGTTTGACTGGCTCGTGCTCACATAGATGATGTATGAAATTATTATTTCATATTTTTCTGGTGTTTGCATTGCAAGTGACATCTGGCTGACAGGAACTTGGAGAAATGGGATACAAAGTGAATGCTGCAGTTACCACGGTATCATATTTATCAAAAGGCTTGAGGCTGGTCTGTCTTTGTTCACATGTGAAACTAACAGCAATGAAAAAGAAACAGCTCCTTTTTTTTAATTTAACTAGTTACTTAGAAAATGAAGATATATGAAGAAAAAACGTTAATTGTATTCTGTATTCATTTAATTTATGTAGACAATCATGCATACTGGCTGAAGGACAGTTCTCAACTTGTATGAAGGGGTTGGTTTTGTTGCTATTATACCTTTAGATTTTGGCTAATATTATATATAATTCATACACTTTCTATCACAGAGATAGGGAAGTCTGGAACAAGCTACTATAGAAGACTGGCAGAGTTCTTTTTAAAATTTCTGTTCAGCTGCACAAATCTAAAGGTAGGTTAATTATAATTGCATTATATCTTTGAAATGCACCTGTTGAAATCCTGTCTTTAACCAAACTCTTGCCCCAACACTTTTTCATTAAGCTCCTGATATGTCACTTGTCTAATTGTAAATTTGAATTAGCAAATTCTTGACTGGAATACAGGTTTTAAAAATTATGTTACAGTATAAAATGCGTTATGAAAATTTACAGCGCTTTAGAAATACGCGTCCAGCCTTAAAAAAAGGCTTTTTCCTAATGTATGCAGTTCGTGAGGAAGCTCTGCTGAGCTCTGATGTGTTACAGGACAAAACCAAAAGTGATACAGTGAAGTGTCCAGCTTATGGCCACGCCCTGCCTTCTATACTGGCTGGAAGTGTTTCTTGGACACTCTTGGTCACTACCTTGCTATCTTTCATGCTTGTTGGTTATAACGACTGTGGGATCTGTGTGAAGAAAATAGGGGAATTTGTAATGGTTGGGTTGTTTCCCAACTATCCTGGGGGCTGTTCCATTATATGCATGTGTAGTTCAGAAGAGAAAAGCAAGAAGAGGTTGTGCAGAGATAGTGAGGTGGGTAGAACAGTCTAGGAGGGGAAAAGTCTGCTGGAGAGAGACAGAGAGACGGCAGACCAAGTAATCAAAAAATAATTGCATCTGTACTGCTGTCAAGTGATTTTCTGATCTATGAAGTTAACAAGCTGAGAGCACTCAGCATCTTCCAGAACTTAGACCTTTGCTTTTAAACAAATAGAAGATCCTGCTGTGTGGTCCAATTCACAGGAAGCAAGAACTAACAGTTGTTTTTCTTTAGGTCTGCAATTGCAAGGTCAAGTTGGGAAACTTAAAAAAAACCCAACAAAAACAAGTGAAACAAGATATGAAAAACTGAGGGCAAGAAATACAAAGCAAAACATTTCCAAATTGTTCACAGAGGAAAATTTTCTTCCCGTAAGTGAACTTTAAGAGCCTATCTTATTTACTGATGACATAGGGCATTTGCCTGTCTTCCTTTCTTAGACATTGGCAGTGTGAATACCTTCACCCAATTCTTCTCTCTGCTTTTGCAAACATCTCCAGTCAATAAAGACTGGACTTATCCATTGCCATACTTGCCTTTCCCCCCCCTTTTTTTTTTTTTGTCAGACAATTGAGCAAAGATCACTGAGATGCTGATCACTTCAGACCAGCAGAGTATCATTTAGACCATTCAGAGCAGTAAGTGCTCTGAGTTTAGCAATTAGACGGAATTGAGCAGAAAACCAAAGTTTCTGCTCAGAAAACCAACTGGCTCCTAAGCATTGCATAGTAGTTTTTTTTCAGCAATTTGTGAACCATGCAAATGCTATGTATGATTCACTGGAATATGCTTTGCAATTTTAGATGAAGTTCATGGGTAATTTACCTTGTACTAGTTTAGGATATCATGACAAAGAACTTGTGATGAGGAAACACTAGGTATCGTGCCACTTAAAACAAGCAGTGGGTACTCTTGGAGCCTTTCTGAATGGGTACTATTCACTGTGATGATTTGTATGTGCTTGGATGGTTTGTTGTAGATGGATTATTATAAAACACTGTCTGCTTACCTGTTTTCCATATTGTCATTTACTCTTTTTGAACATGACATCTTTTCTTGGGTTCCTTTAGAGCTCAAAAGACCTGGCATCAATCATTCCCTAAAGCAATGAATGTATCCAGGCTCTCCTTGAGGGAGAGCTGGACTGGCTGAGCCAGATCCCATATCTGAAATTTTTATGCAGTTGTCTTTACTTTCTATCAGTATGATTCATATACAGAGATATACAAGGTATCTTGAACTTCATTTAAATAAGTTTGCAAGTGCTACTGCTTCCTTTTGAGTTAAAGTCACAGAACTCTTCAGTTTATTTTTTTCCACTTTTATTCAGCTCTATGTTGTATTGCTACATATTGTTACATACTTCTGTCTCTTCTTTGTGATGTATGAAACAAAGCTGTTCTAGTTTCTTAGCCAGTGTTATTTATGCTCTGTGCTGATGTATATTACACTTTTACCAGTCTACTTCTCTGTCTACCCAGCCACACACTCAGATTTTATCACCTTCTGGTTAGGATTGCTGGACTTCCTGTATGCCAACACAAACAAAAAGCAAGGAAATAAGTGGTTAAGTCATTCAACACCCCATTTACACTACTCTCCTCAACAATCTTTCTCAATCCCAACTACCTCACTACCAATGACCACAGTCCACAGGCTTCCAACTTCACCCTGATTACTTTGTTTTTCTTCTGTTTACTATTCAAGACATAGTTTCTTTTTTCTGCTCCATGATTTTACACTTTCTATCTTGAATATTTGTACCCCAAAAGAAGACATCATTATTAATTAAAAATTGAGAAGAGACTGTAGTTCATTATTGTTTGCAATGTTGCAGGATTAAGAGCTGAGGGTCTGGGAAACACTTCGTTCATTTCATTCTTTACTGTTGCCCTTTGTGTGCTGAGTAGTAAAGCTGTGATTCTTTTTAACAGTTTGCATTTCCAGTCTGTTTCACGGAACAAGAATAGGTCAGATTTCCTCTTTTGCTCTTTTGAACCTTTCTCAGCCTGTGGGGTAAACCAGATTGGTCAAAGGTCTGATCCTTTTGAAAGTGGAATCTTGGCACTTTCTTCTGTGTGGATGAGGATGAAAGTGAATGAATGACACTCAATATAAACAATCTTTGCTTTTCCAGAGAAGAGTAGTAGCACCTACATATACTACAGGAACTGAGTTCTCTAGATCATGATAATGTCAGCTGAAGTACTTGTAAGTGAATTTTGAGGCAATTTTAAGGAGTGATTTGTATATATAAAAAGAGCCAGAGGAAAGGTATTCACTTTTTGTTTAATGACTAAAACTAGTATTAGCTGTGATAGACTGATGAACTGCCTGAAACATTTCAATACAATAGAAGGCTCAATATATTTTTATTTGGCAGAAGGCAGTAGGAAGAGAAAAAAAGCATATACACATAAACCATGAACCTGAGATTTTTCCCTCATCCTGTTTCTTACCCATTTTATTCCTAGTTCTTACATCTGGAAGAAACTTTGGATAAACAGCAGTCCTGAGGTAATATACCATAATGGCAAAAGCATGCTGAAGAGGGTGAAGTGGAAAAGAAAGGGGACAGTCTGTGTTGATAAATAAAGTAATTTTCCTTCAGCTTACCTTCACAAAGTTTCTGGGTAGTTTAGAAGAGTGTTGTAGAAAAGAATGTTGCCTGCTTGAAACATTGCTTTCCCTAAAGGCTACACAGTAGTGTATTGGAAGATGCTTGTCCTTCTAGATGAGAAGAATTTCAATTCTTGACCATGGGTATCTTTGGCTGGACTAAACAGGAAGTGTGGAAAGACTTCAGAGAGCTATTTTAACCCTCTGTTATGACACATCTGAAGATCTTGCTGGTGACTCATTTTGGCCTAATTTGTTTAACATTTTATTAGATTATTTGCTTTTTCTCCTCTCTCCATTAGCTTTGTACAGTTGGTGTTGAATTTTTGTGCTTTTTAAAATTCTTTTTCCATACTAAAAAAATATAGACTTTATTTATAGATTTTTATCTAGAATAAATAAACCCTGTCTACTTTGCAGATAATTAAATGGCACTCAAAACAGAAAAACAATGTGGAAAGTTGTCATAATGATGGTAGTAGCTGTGAATTCCAGTGATACTCTTAGTGATGGAGAAAGTAGTGAGTGTGTGATTCCCCTGTAGGGATGCTGGTGTCTGTTCCCTGCATGTGGACTAAACCTTTACCATACAGATGAAATTTCACTCAAAGCTCATCTGAACAGCCCTTCAGTAACAGCTATTCTGAAGTCTAATATCCTTTAAAAAATTATTTCACCATCCATGAAGTTGAGTTTGGCTCAGATAGTAGAAACCTTGACACCTCAGAAACACAGTGATCCTGTTTCGTATCTAAAATAAAACTGATTTAGATTGTTGTACCCTAGCCATATCCATGTAGTTGGAGACTGCTAAATTCACATGAGAATGCCTGTCTGCTTTTCATCTGAAAAATAAGACTCTCTTTCTACCAGTAAAGATTTCAATATAATATATTTTCAAAGTAATCTTTCCTTGATCAGCAGACTACAGTATTTTATCATTTTGCAGGCTTTCTTTCCTTTATGGGGGAATACTTCACCAAATTGCATTTAATATCTATTAACTTGGATTTTTAAAAGATCAAATGGCTTTCACATCTAATGATGTTGTTTTTCATAATTTATTTCTTCCAAATTGATACCACTGCATACTTAGAACTTGATTTCTGTTCTCTCATCCTATCTGAAAACACGATCCTGACAGGAGTCCTGCCTTTGAAAGCATAAACTTTGTGGGAGTAACTATTACACCCTTCTAGAAATGTCTTGAAGGAGACATTTCTATTACACTTCTACTCTTCCAGGATCTCTTTCCAGATACCCAATCTTTTGTTGTTTACTTTCAGCATCTCAGTTTTCAGAACTGCTCTGATTAGATGATGTGTTGTTTTTTTTTGCTTAGTTCAGCTTTTACTTTTGCATCTGTTAGCACATTCTTACCCTGTCCCACCTGCTTTTTGGCTCCCTGGCCTCTTTATCAGAGTAAATGTTGATGTTGAAATTTCAAAACATTGAAGTAAATAATTCAACCCATGCTTCTGCTACTTTGTCAAAGAGTCAGCTTCCCAAAGAAAAAAAATTACATTTTGCAAAGTTATGGAAACAACAGTGAGCAAATCATAAGAGGTGTTGCTCATATTCTTATTCTGTTCTATTTCTTACACTGTGAAGGTAACTCTATTATGTGAGACTTCAGTCTAGAGGTGTAACTGTTTATTTTTGAAGATGCCCAGCGTACTCAAACTACAACTACTCTGAACATAAATATACTATGCATTAGCATTTGAATATTCCTGTCCAGAATGATTTTCTGTGTTGATATAGGCATTTTCTCATCTATACTATACATATCTAGTATAAGATAGAAAATAAAATATGAAAAATCACCTAGAAGGGAAAGGCAGACTTTTTTAAAAACTGTATTGAATAAAAGTTGGAGAAGCCATTGCTTGTTGTGTAACTGTTGTGGATAGATATGTTTCCAGTCAGGGTGGCTGGTGCATATACTTTTTTTGCACCTCAACAACTTCAGTTTTATAACTGTTTGCATAGATGTTGTGAGAGCAATTAGTAGACTATATGCAAATGCATGGTATAGGTATTTTGGCAGACTTTACAAACTTGAGTTTGCAGTAGTATTAGGCATTGGATCCCAATATGCATGTGTCCAGTCACAGTTAATACAAGTTGCAATATTTTGTTGTGAACAGACTTCATTGGTAGTTACAATGCTCAGACATGAATGCTCCTGTGGGGGCCCATCTGCCCTGTTAGCTGTTTGCAAAAGTTTTAATAATATTAATATCACTTGAAACTCTATGCATAAACAAGAACCTTCTCCAGATATTTTAGTTAATTTTCTTCAGACTTCAGAAGTGATCTGTTCTATTCAGATGCACTTTTCATGTTTGTTGCTGTTATGTTGTTGGTTAACTATCATGTTGTTGGTTATTAGGTTGGTGTTTCTGAGCAGCAATTTGCATTATGATGCTTCAGTCCATAAAGAGTTCAGATGAACTTTTTTCTTAAATGTAAATTTTTAGTTTTAATATTTTGTTCCCCTTTCACTTTGCAGTCTATTTTTTAGCACTATACAATAAAACAAATTTTGTGTTTCTACATGCACACATATGTATGTGTGTATATATATATACATATATATATATACACTGTAGCATGGGTTTGGGGGTGATGTGCTTTTGAAAGAAAATCTGAAGCCCTCTATTTGCCTGTACAATAGGATTAAGGAAGTTCCAGTATACTTTTTCTCTTGCTGTCTTTCAATTGCACTCACTTTAGGTCTGGGTATAAA